TTTGGTTCAGTTCGTTCTTCCCCGCCGCCCGACGCCGCCAGGCTGCCCGTCCGTCTGCGCCTCACCGTCGCCGTCGTCGCCCCGCGCCGTCCCGCCCCGCCCTGACGCCGTCGCCGCCCCGCGCCCCGTGCCCCGCGACGCTGCCGGCCCTGCCCGTCGCCGCCCCGCCCCGGCTCGCGCCGCACCTAGCTGTCGCCGTCGCCGACACCGTCGCCGTGAGATTTTTTTTGCTAATTTACTTTGATGTTAGTAGTAGTTAATTTAGATGTGCAGTATAATTTAGATGTGTAGTTAATTGAGTTAGATTTTGTTAGATTTTTTAAAAAAAAATTGTTAGACTTTTTTGTAGTTCATAGATTTTTTTGTTAGATGTGTAATAATTTAGATGTGTAGTTCATTGATTTTTCTGTTAATTTTTTTTCATATTGTGTAATTAATTTGCTCATATTGTGTTAGAATTTTTTTTTCTGTTAATAGATTTTTTTGGTGATATTATTGTTGAATATGCATGTTTGTATGTTCATATATATGCAAAGATCGAATATGTCAAATTTTTATGACTTTTTTCTGTTCATATAATTTTTATGATTTTTTTTCTATTGTAATTAATTTTGTTCATAGAATTTTAATGATTTTTTTGTTCATAGTATTTTCTTTGTCAATTTATGTATATGTTCATATTGTGTATGTATAGGAAAATTGTGCATCATCAAAGTCATTTATGAATATGTTCATATTTAGAGTAGAGGAAAAAGGAAAAAAAATAAGAAGAGAAAGTGTTTAATATATTTAGTTAGAAAAATAATAGAACTATAGTTAAACTAGTTTATATTTAGTAAGTACTACTTTATTTTATTTATAGTAAGTGCTTCATATATAGTTGAACTAGCTAGTTGATTTAATAAACTACTTTATTTTACTATATATAGAAGTAGTTTCTTTTTAGTAAGTACTACTTTATTTATTTATAGTAAGTGCTTAGTAGTTGAACTAGTTGATTTAATTAATAAAACTACTTTATTTAATTATATATAGAAGTAGTTCCCGCATCGACGTCGACGATGCCTATCCCGCATTCTCGTCATCGTCGACTCGACGGTGGAGGCCTGCTTGATCAGGGCCATGTTCGGGATTGGGCTCCACCGGGCTGGTATTGGGAGCTGCTACCTTCCGGGGGACGTAGGTTAGTGAGGAGGCAGCCCGTTGTTGACCCGATCCTTGTTTGGTGGCGGTCGCGTAGGCCAGTGACGGTGCCGAGGCTTCCGGACACCGCGGAGGTGGTACGTCACCGTGTCAGCGAGGACGAGAATGTCCGTCGCTACATGGTTGCACTGGAGGGCAGGTTCGACAATACCTGGCAGGTTCTTCAAGGATCTCACTGGAGCTATGATCCTGTCATGGTTCCTTATCTTTGGGTGTCCACCGCCCGCGATGATACCCGTCGGGCGCTATGGTTCTAGTTGTATTAGCGATGCTATATGTATGATAGTATTCGAGGAGTATTAGTGATAATATTCGATGATGTACGGACACAAGAGATGATGTAGTTTTGGTTATAATTGAATGCATGCTAATTTGAATACTACTTTATTTTACGATTTGGTTTTGCTTATTGAATGCTCATATTGGAAAAGTACTCCTACTTTGAATGCTAAAATTGAAGAGCACTCTATGCAGAAATCTAGGAGCCCCCTCCATCATCCACGCCCTCATGGTGGTAGCTTGTCCTTCATTCCCATGTGCTAGACAATTTGGTGTAATAATGCACTCGGGAATGAAAGGAGGAGCTACGTACCATCACCGATAGTCAACCCATGGTTAATAATAATAATCTAATTTAGGTTTTTTAGTACATATATTTAATTGTATAAGTTTAATATTTGAATTATGAACATAGGCCGGAAATGTCGTACTCAGACGACGAAAACCGCCCAGGGGAATGCGACTGGTGCCACAATGACCGAGGTATGTGCGACAGGTTCATTGAGCTGGACGAAGATCGGCGGTTCAGCATTAAGCTCGAGGAGACCTTCGATGTTCATACAGTACGCAACGACGACAATATTTTTTTCGTAATTAAGCACGACTTCAACTATTTTAACGTGTATTTTTCATCTTTTCCAATTCGACTAGCTTATCCCATGCGATGCAAGATGCTATGTCTTGGGGAGGATGGGTTTTGAAGACCATGAAAGTATGGAAACCAAAAAAATTCTCCTAAGGACCCATCATGGTGTGGATTTTAAAGTAAAGTTGTACAATGCTGAGAGTGTAACCCATTTTAGTTGCAAAAATTGGGAAGCACTTTGCAAGATGTATGGTTTTGATGAGGGTATGCTTGTCACCATGGATCTTGGTGATCCTACAATCAAGCAAGACAATATGTACATTTGGGTCCTTGTGGATACACCTCCAATTCTTCCCCCATGTGAGCTTAACATAGTTATTAAGTAATTTATATTGTTTATTTTAAAATAGTTGACAGTTTATTTCCATTGACAGCTTATTTTCATTCTTCAAAGAATGTGCGGAAGATGGTAGACAAAACCCACTACACCGATGGCTCCGAATTAACTTATAAGGAGAAAAATCATCTGATCGCATTTTGTACTGATCTTGAAATTACAATGTCTACAATCGAGCTCCTCAACATTATGGTCAATACGTGCCACTAGTGCACGCGTTGAACTATGGTAACTACCATGGAGATACCCTGGTAAGAGTTTTTACTATTACGACATCCGTGCATCTTTTTGCATACTTCTAAAACTAGTACATCATTGCTAACTACGAAGTTATTACTATGTTTTTCAACAGATAATTCCGAATGATTGTGTGCCTCATCTGATGTATACGCACGGTCCCTTGATGTTTTGAACATACAACCAGGTTGTCCTACGAATCTCAACTGTCCATACCGGATTTCTAAAAGAAGTGGAGACATGACAATTAAAGAATGAAAAAAATGTATGGACAATCGTAAGGAGCTTCTTGAAAGCAAAAGGAAGCAAAGCGCAAGAATTGGAGACAGGATGATCTCCATTCTTCATAATGGAGAGTCAGGATCTATATTGTTTTATGCTATTTTATCTTAAGTGTGTTTAGGTCTACCTGATACTGATGATGTGCTAAGAACAATTATGTAGGGTTGGGTTCGATGACTATGAGTATGATGATCGTATGACTTGTTATTAACAACGAGTAGAAATTGTATGATGATGCATGATTAGTAGGACTTGTTATTATATATGATGATGTATGATGCGATCATGAAGAGTTATTATATATTAGCGGGTGAAATGAACATAGCAGTAGTGTTGGTAAACCAAGCACGAAGATAAGAGATGACACTTCTCTCTATTAGCTAGGTAATAACAACCTAAATTAACCCCCAAAACCCCTAAACCAGCCACTTTCAAAAAAAAAAACCTTAGCTGCTGCCAGCTTCTGATGCGTGGATGCCTTTTGGTCCCGGTTTATGTCACCAACCGGGACCAAAGGCCCCCCTGCCTGGGCTGCCTGCAGCGGCCACGTGGATGCCCATCTATCCGGAGGCATTAGTAACGACCTATTAGTCCCGGTTCAAGAATCGGGACTAAAGACCCTTACGAACCGGGACAAAAGCCCTGTTTTCTACTAGTGACTGCCTCCTCTTGATAACTGAATCAATGTCATATGAAACTCTAAGCATGGATTGCTGGCACATGCTCGTTTTGTAATGATGTGGAATCAGCTACACTTACTCAACAGCAATATGTGCCAAACCTTGTTTGTACTATTTTTCTCTGAAATTCATGCTGACTGTATAGAACGTATAACATTGTCTAAATAGACCACCTCTTAATTTTATCGTTGGAAGTAAGGAAAGGGCAATAACTTCAAGTATTTTTCAACGGAAAGTACTTTACACATGACACAACAAGTATGGTAGGGTTTCCCCAAGTCGCTAGAGGAGGGCGACAAGGGAGTCAAGGTAGGAGCCGTCTTGGTCTTTTGTTTTAGCTAGGTGGTTTGCCTGTCGTAGTCCATAATCAAGTTGCAGTTAGAAATAATACTCTTTGGTCGTGATAGGTGCAGTCTTCGTCTTTTGTTTTAGCTAGGTGGTTTGCCTGCCGTACTCATTATTCAAGTTGCGATTAGAAATAATAGGAGTGCATTGTTTTTCTTAATCTTCTTTCTCCATGATTGAGCGTTCCCATCAACTTGCACGCCATAGAATATGGATGGACCAAGTAAAAAAAATCCATAGGGTCGAAATCCCTTTTTGAAATGAAGTAAGCTCATCCGTCATTTGTACATGTCATCCTTTCATCATTTTTGTATGGGTACTCGTAACCGGACAACCAAATCTGATTGGTTTGTTTTAAGTATATATATGCGTACACTCGATCCCTTCGTTCTTCTTCTACCTCTCTTGAGCTCTCCCTCCCGGACCAAACCATTTTGCTGTGGATCCGTGTTGTAGCTTTGTTACCATAAGCCCAATTAATTCATCTTCCGGGAGATCAGGCTAACCTAGTTCAGTCACAGGTACATAATCATGCATTAGCACGCTGTTTGAAGCTACATATGTTGCGACATATTAATATTAGATGTGTATACAAAGATACCGTTAAAATTTAATGCTTCAGGTTGGCATATCCATGGGTGAAAGTGGAGCACTGATGCCATCTTGGATTGAACTGTGGAATGAGTGGGAGATCCAAATTGTTGTTGTTCTCAGCTTCAGTCTGCAGGTTATCCTCTTCTTCTTCGCAGGGATCCGCCGCTACACCGTCTCGTCTCTTCTCAAGGTCCTCCTCTGGCTGGTGTATCTGCTTGCCGATGTTGTTGCGACGTACGCCTTGGGGCACATGTCCTCATCATTGTTGAAGAAATCGTCCAGTGAGCACCAGCTGGTGGCGTTATGGGCACCATTCCTCCTGCTGCACCTTGGCGGCCAGGACACCATCACCGCGTACGCCCTTGAGGACAATGAACTCTGGCGGCGCCATCTGTTGAATATGTTTGTGCAGGTCGCCGGCACCGCGTATGTGCTCTACAAGTACATCAATACGGGTGGCGCGACTTTTGTGCCTGCTGCTATGTTGGTTCTGGCCGCTGGAGTTGTCAAGTATGGTGAGAGGATATGGGCACTGAAGCTTGCAAGCAAGGGTGGTTCCCACTACAGAAAAGGGCTACCACGTGAGGCATTTCTCTGGAGGATTTATGATATTTGCCATATGTTTCTCAGAAAGAAGCCTAAGGTCGAAAATGAATTCCTCCAGAATGTGAGAAAAGGCAATGATACTGTGTGGGTGTTCAATTGGACGTCGGAAGAAAAAGGAGACTGCTTCACCAAAAACAGACAATTTGGAACTTATGCGTTAATTGTTATGACAGCACACGGGTTGTGTGATGTACTTGTCAAGCCTTTAATCTTAGAGAGGAATGAGGCGTCCATACAGTCGACAGATCAAAGAATTGGACTACTGAGTTCTCCATATCGATGGGATGCTGACAAGAGAAAAGATGAATCAGCAGATAGGAGGAGGCGTATTGGGGAGGTGTACAATACAATAGAGGTGGAGCTGGCCCTGATGTACGACATGCTGTATACCAAGGCACAAGTGATCCACACGAGGTATGGCTACTGCATCCGCGCCATTTCACTTGTGTGTTGCTTCGCGGCTCTTTTGGTCTTTACAAAGAGTAAAAGAGATGGGTACAGCACACCCAACATTGTTATCACATTTGGTCTTCTGAGCGGAGCTTGCGTGCTGGAGGTCGCATCAGTTTTCAAGGCGATTGGGTCGACCTGGACACATGCCACCTTGAGAGGCAATGGATGGAACTGGCTGGCCAATGCGATTCTGTTCGCACGCTACTACCTCGTCGTTGTCAAGGATGGAAGGTGGTCTGATTCTGTCGGACAATTTAACTTCACATCTTTCTGCGCGCACAGCACCAAGGACGACCTGAAAAGAGCAATAGCCGGTTACCTTGGGCTCCAGGACTTGTGGAGCAAAGCTCATTGCACCAAACATGCCAAGCTTTCACCTGCCCTGAAGGAGTCTGTGTGGGACTTGCTGAAAGGGAAGAATAGCCATATGGTACAAATTGAAGGTTTGGCCATCCGGAGTGGGTACTGGGCTCGCAGGTTCAGAGGCTTCGACCAGAGCGAGCAGCTCGATTGGAGCATGGAATTTGAATTTCAGAAGAGCGTACTTATTTGGCATATAGCCACAAGCACCTTCATCTACAAGACTGCCGTCCAATCGGAGCTGGTCGACAAGGACATGGGTGAAGCTGTCAATACTCTCTCACATTACATGATGTACCTTCTCATCGAGCACCCTGACATGCTGCCCAACAAATCAGCTGCTCGAGACATGTTTGATGAAACCCGCACCTCTTTCGATTGGTATCCAAGATTGAACAACTTTTGGACTTCTGGATCAAAGTTACCAAATTCGGAAAATGCTGTGCTGAAGGATGCAGATAGGCTTGCTCACATAATGATTGACATGAAGTTGGGGCTCACACATAAGATGGTAATAATCGGAACGGTGTGGATGGAGATGTTGTGCTATGCAGCAACCAATGCATCTGAGGGATTCCACTCCAGGCAGCTCAGCAATGGTGGCGAGTTTCTGACCCACATCCTGCTCCTCACTAAACATGGTCCTGTTAAACCCCCGATAGAAGTGCATCCCAAAGTAGCTGATGAAACTGTGGAACCTAATGCTGGCCCAGTCGAGCTGACCGAGGACGATTGTTGCAACGATGAAATCATCGAAATCCACTGACGGATAGAGCTTGTCAACAACCTACAAAGCTGTTCTTCTCCTCGAATCCAGTATCTGTAATTTCATTTTCGTCGTTTGCATTGGTTTTGGTCTTACTGCACGTGGTTGGTGAGGCATGTAATGTCATCCATCTCTTTTGCCAATTTGTAAGTCAAACGAAATTATTACCATCATGATTTGGATTTCAATAGCCGTGTCATATTTGTAAACTATAAAGTACAATATATATTTCTTCGGTACAACCCCCTCACAAAACGTGTAAAGGGCACTAGGGATATTTCAAAATTCATACGCATTTCCATATGTATGGTGGATCATCCAGCAGGATGTATACGCCATACGTTTCGGTAGAGGACCCGCTACTGGGCCTGCCCACTAACAACAACCGATATAGGGCAGGGACAAAAGTCACAAAAAAAATGGATGTGCTGCGAGTGGATTCGAACTCGTGACCATCGAGCTGCTAACCAATCGATCTGTCACCTGCATGTGAACGCGGCGTAGGCGTTTTATGAACACACAGAAGCGGTGTTTCTGTTTAGAAACAACGTCTAGAAAATTCAGCATTTCACTGAAAATTGTGAATATATTTTAAATACCGAATATTCTTTAGATTATTGGAACAAATTTTGAAAACGGAAACATTTTTCCAAATTGTAAAACAAAAATTAAGTACGCGAACATCTGTTGAAATCCATGAACTTTTTTAATACACGAACATTTTCAGAATCTGTGAACAATATTTAATAAGGCAACATTTTCTGAGAACACGAATAATATTTGAAAAACTAGAGCACATTTTGAAATTCTGAACCCATTTATAAAAAATAGGGAAAAAATAAAAATTATGACTCATAAAGATAGGGAAAATTAGGAAAAAGTGAGCAAATTTCAAAATTCTGAATATTTTGTAGAACTCGAAAAATTCATGAAACATGGTAAAAATTAAGAATATTCGAACAATTTTCGAGAATATTATTATTTTTGAATATGTTGGACATTTTTTCTAAATCCACAAACTTTTCTTTATTATGCGATATTTTTTGAATCTTGGACCAAAATATTTTAATTTTAGATTTTCTTAAACATGAATAATCTCTGAAAAATTGGAGCACATTTTGAAACTCTGAAGTCTTTTGAAAACACAAACAAATTTCGAAATTCAGATCTGAAATTGTGAACTTTTAAAAATTGAATTAACAAAATTTTGAAACACCAAACATTTTTTTGGAAAACATGACCAAATTTAAAAATTCTGAACATTTTGTAAGACGCAAGAGGAGAGCGACAAGGGAGTCAAGGCAGGAGCCGTCTTGGTCTTTTGTTTTAGCTAGGTGGTTTGTGTTCCGCAACTCCGCCGGCGAGTCCGGGGCGAGCGTCGTAGACAAAGTAGTCGAACACGCAAAAGTAGGTGAACACAGAGAAATATGGAGGAGACTAGCTTTATTAATCAATGATCAACTGTTACAATGATTGCTCCTCGTCTCTTTATATAGGGGTAAAGGGTCAAGGGATAAGTACCCACTTAACATAAAGTGTGGAACCAGGAGGGGCTATCCTGTGCGCCTCACACGAGCCGCCGCCACCCTTCGTCGTGGGCCCGGTTTCCCAGCACTCCCCTTTGGAAATTATTCGTATATCCATGTCTCAAAACTCCGAGAAACCCAGTGGGAAAAAATATGGAGAAAGAGCACACAGTATACGTTGTTGTATTGCACGAATTGCCTCGTCAAAAACCTCACGTGAGAAACATCAGGAAAACTCACTCAAGAAAAAAAGAGTACAATCCAGGTCTCGTTTGCTGGGATCCGCCGCTACAGTGTCTCGTTTGTTCTCAAGTCCCTCCTCTGGCTGGTGTATTTGCTTGCTGATCTCGCTGCGACGTACGCTCTGGGGCACATGTCCTCAACGTTGTCGAAAAAATCGTACGGCGAGCACCAGCTGGTGGCGTTCTGGGCACCGTTCCTCCTCCTGCACCTTGACGGCCAGGACACCATCACTGCATATGCCCTGGAGGACAATGAACTCTGGTTGCGCCACCTGCTAAACATGTTTCTGCAGGTCGCTGGCGCCGGGTATGTGCTCTACAAGTACATCACTGCAGGCACGGGGGCCTTTGTCCCTGCTGCTATGTTAATTCTGGCCGCCGGAGTTATCAAGTACGGCGAGAGGATACGGGCACTGAAGCTTGCGAGCAAGGGTGGTTCCCATTACGGAAGGTCACCATGTACTACTTCTTCCACAATGATGATCTATAAAAAAATTTGTAAGTATTTCTGAGAGAAGCCTAAGATCATCTCCAGCCGCGCCCCCAACAGGCCCTTCCCAGGCGTTTTTGCCGTGCCGGCACCGAAAAAACGGCCCAGTCGCCCCCCTAGAAACCCGTTTTTCGCCGGCTCGGGCCGAAACTGGTGCCGGCGGACCTAGGCAGAACCCGGCGCCCCGAGGGGCGCCGGTACAAGCGAAAAGGGCGCGTGGGTCCGTCCTGTCAGCGAGTCGAGCGCCTCTTCCCGCCGTTTCTTCCCGCTTTTCTCCACTTCCCTCCCATTTCCTTCTTTGCTCCCGCCAATCTCCCTTCCGCTCGCCTCCCAGCAGGCCGTCATGGCACCGAAGAAGTACGCCGTCCCCGCGCAACGGCAACCGCGACCGCCTCCGTCGCCCAGACGAAGCAGAGGAAGCCGAGGGCGCCGCCGTCCAAGCCGCCGGGCATGACAAACGCCGATTGGAGGGTAGAAGTGCAGCGACGGGAGGCCATCACCACCGACCGACGGAACAGGGCCCTCGCCAAGAAGGCCCGCGACAACGCGGCATGCGCGGCTGCGGCTGCCGCTGCCGCTTCGGCGGACCAGGCCGAGGCCGAGGCGACTCGCACGGGGATGATGAATCCCCCCAGCAACCACGCACAGTACGCGCCCTAGGGCCAGCAAGGCGTCGGGTCTCCGTCGCCGCAGCCATGGGGATCGCCGGGGTACGCCGACGGGGACGCGCACGGTGGGTTCAACCCAAACGTCACTTTGCCCCATGGACACCCGGCCCAGCGCATGCCCTCGCCCGCCTTCACCGGCGTGCAGTACCCTCCATACAAATATTCGCCGCCCGCGTACGTGTCCTCCCCGACGCCCCCTCTCCGCCGTTGCGCACTGCCCTTCTCGCACCTAGGGGACGCCGACGAGACCGAGGCCGACATGGACAACATCATCGCGGAAGGTTCGGCCACGGCCGCCGCGTCTCCCGGCTTCACCGCGGATGAGACGGTGGATCTCAGTGGCGGCATGGACGGCGAGCTCGGCTACGTCTACGGCGACAAGGAACAGGAGGAGCAGGAGGAGCAGGACGAGGAGGAGGAGGAGCCGGCGAGGAGGCGCAAGAAGAAT